TGTGAATGTGAGTGTATGAGAACATACGTGTGTACTTGAGTGCTGCAGTCAGGGAGCTGCGGGATCTGGCATCAAGGACAGTACCTGCCTAGAAGTACAGTCACCCTTGCCCTGGAGTCTTTGTTGTGTCTGAGTTGCAGACGTGGATCTGCTCGCTCTCTAGATCTCTCAGATCTCTGAAGGGTGGCGTCGTGATCACGTTAACAGCTTTCCCCTCTCACACAAACACAGTTTATGCTCAACTTTGCTGAAGATAGCATTTAGTTTAGTGTGAGGCACCACCCATTCTTTCAACTGAGAACTGTTAGACCAACCCCAAAGGGCTACTTGAGAGACAGACCTGAGGGGACTTATACTAAGAGTAGGTGCAGAGTTTTTGTTAGCTGACATTTTCATACACCCTTAGTGTTGATGATAATGTTACTTTAAAAGTACCAGCAATAAGAAGCAAACCGTAGGCTCTGCAGTCTAGTTGGAGAATAAAAATACAGGTAGAACCCACCTATCGTGAAATGAAGGCATCTCACTTTTCCTTGATTCCCGGCATGCGGTTTGCATTTTTTAGTCTATCTATCTGATTAGTTATGCACATCAGGTCATAATAGTTCTTGAATGGCATATGACCTTTTACACAACTATTAAGAATAGGATGAGAAAGTTCAGCGACAGGATAGACACAGTGGGTGAGCAGGCAGGCTCCCCGCTCTCCTGAGGGCACGGGGCGGGGGGGGGGGGGAGATAGAAGTGACACCTGAGCAGGGCCAGGTGGGACAGGTGGGAGCCCGTGCCTAGCACGCCAGTCCTCACTGAGAGCCTGAGAGCGGGAGGAGGGAGCAGAGCCTCGACTATCTAGGTCGGTTTTTATCAGCAGAAAGTTGTTTTTTTTTTTTTTTTTTTTTAATAATTAGACTTTTTTCTATCATCTCATCCAGAGTATTGCTTACAAAGTAATCTCATTTTTTCTGAATCAGTTTTTTGAGAAATAAGTTACATGAAATAAAATATACTCATTTAAAGCCTCATCTAATGATTTTTTACAGTGTCTCTACGCTATAACCATAACTATAGTCAGTCACTTAAGAGAGACGCCTAGATATTCAGCATTCTCTTTCACATCCAAGTGACTACAAATCCCTGCCAATTTCACAATCTTTTCATAGACCCTCTGCTCTTTATTCTCTGAACAACTACCATAGTTTTTACCATGTGAGGCCCTAACAACTTTTCACCTCCTACTGCAATCTAATTTACAACTAACTTTCCACTCTTACCCTTTTTCTTCCCTCTATTCACTACACAATTACTACATTGTGATTTTTCTCAACTACAGTTCTGGCCACCTTACCACCATTACCACCACGCTGCCTCCTTACCCAACTCCTCCATCTCCTCCCATCATGTCATTTTTAAAACCCCCTGATGACTCCTCAGTCACTGGTTTTGGGGAAGGGCATCAAGGCAGAGTGGCAGCTGCTTATTCAAATCTACTAATACTTGAAGCCATTATTAGATTAGATTTTCAAACTCCCGTTTTCTCCTATTTAAAATGCTTCCTGTAATTATCCTGCCATGTCTCAAATGCCTTGACACACATTCAGTTTGTGAATTCATCTTACAGATCAATAAATATCAGCTGTGAGCTGAAACAATCTCAGGATGTTTTTACTTTGAATCTGATCAAAACATGAAGAACTGTCTGACTGTGGCAATAAAGGAGGAGGAGAATGCCTGTCATACGGTTGTCTATCGTGGCACACTATTCTGTCTTTTTATCTTCATGAGAGGTGTAATGTCAACATAAATCCTGAAACAGCACTCTTCAGCATAAGTGTATGAGTTGAGTATTGATGCCCTCTTGTTCATCAGGCATTTTCCTGGAGTACTGTTTATGAAGTGATTATTCCCATCTTCAAAAAAAAAATCTTAAAATCTCAGTGTGTGGTTTTCTAGATATCAAAAGATGTTTTCTACATCTCACATGTAAGGGCCAATACCCAGACTCCTGGCGTAATACTGAAGGACAGAGCTTGAAGATTCACACTAGCCTGTTAAGTTCTGTTTCGTACAGTTAAGTGAAGTTGACCGTGAAACTGAGATTCCATGAACCACAAGTTCATTGCCTGTGGGGAGTCCTCTGATTTTATTCACAGTGCTTGATGAGGGAGACAGGGATGCACTTGACAGCATCGTGACCACACAGGAAGTTTCTGTGTCATTTAGAACCCAATTATTACAGTCTAGGTACTGGAGTAGATAGAAAGTCCAATTAAGCTGAGGAATATTTTTCTCTGACACATCCTCAAGGCAGGGGGAGTGGGGGTGGGGTCTCGACCAGCACAGGCAAGATCTATGGCAGTACACAGGGGCCCTGCACATTCACAAGGGGACTGGTGCTGGGAGTGTGGCTCAGTTTACAGTTTATAGCTGACGGGGCAGCCCTGCCATAGGTTGGGTCTTCAGTGTGTCTGGGGGAGTGTGGACTGATGCATATTTTGGAGTCTAATAGTTGAGGACAGTCATTCACCTGTGATTACATACAATGTCACATTTTCATGGGAAGACCACAGTTCATGTTCTTGTCAGTGACACATGTCATTCATAGAGTGAACTCTGACCTGTTTAGACTCATTGCAAAGCTGCGTTACAGAGACTTGCTCTGAAGGCCCAGCACTTAAGGCCCGGGGCAGTGGTGAAAGAGTAGAAACATTTATCAATGGGCCCGAGTACACGCCTGGAAATAGCCACAGATACAACCAGATGCATGTCAACAAAACATAGACAGTTCATCAATGTGGGAAAATGTGAATTTAGATCTTTTAGTAAATTAACTCCAAATGGGTTGTAAGCCTGAGTGTAAAACTCTCAAAACTATAAATTGTAGAAGAAAACCCAGACTGTTTGGTCTCCTTCAGAAACCAAACAGAATTCAAAGAAAGAAAAAAAAAGAAAGAAAGAAAGAAATTATTAAGTTATCTATCATTAAAAATGAATCCTACTGCTCTGTGAAAGGCACTGTTAAGAATGAAGAGGGGCCAGGAAGCTGGCTTCACGGTAAAGGCCTGTGAGGGCCTGAGCTGATCCCTGGAACCCACATGGTAGAAGGGGAAAACTGGCTCTCACAAGTTTTCCCCTGACATTCACATGTGTGTCATGACATGTTTACATCACACATACACCACATAAATAAATATAATTTTAAAAGAAACAGATAGTAAATACTTGCAAATATTTTAAATTGTAAAGTTTAACAGTAAGAAAACAAAGACTCCACTTAAAATAAGCGAAGGCTCTGAAAACACCATGAATTTACACAACAGGCAACTGTGCATGTGAGAAATGTTCAAATCGCTTGTCACTGGGGAGCTGCAGAGTAAAAGAGGCCACACAACTGTTCACCCAACAGTGGAGAACTTCCAGAAACACCAGTGAGTGCCCAATGCTGGCAGGGCCGGGGAGCTGACAGCACTGGATGAGTCTCTCACACAGCCAGATGACCATCCTTCCGTGTGACCAGGCAGTGTGTGACCTGGATCCAGCTGAGGTTAAAACGTGTCCACACAGACAGCTGTGGACAAGGATTTACAGCAGCTTCACCAGCTGTCAACCGAGACATCCCCTGTAGTTGAGTGAAGAAAGTGATAAGCTCATGCGATGGAATATTGCTCAGTTACAGGAAGAGTCGCACTACGAAGCCATGAGAAGACACGGGTGGATTGCCAAATGAAAGAGCAGATCATACATAGTACATGATTCCAGCCACCCAACATTCTGGAAATTGCAGAACTCCAAGAGTAAAAAATCAGTGCTTACCAGGAATTTGGGGGATCGGGGAAAGCACAGGAGTTTCTTAAGACATGAAAATTATCCCCTGTAGTACTTGAGTAGTAAACACGAGCCTCTGTGCGTTTGCCACAGTCGTGGTGTGTTAGAGCCATGCACAGTGACCCTCAAGGTGTGCAGCATTTAAACAAAGATTGCCAAGGGACACGGAAATCCCAGGAGGGGACACAGCTCTGGCTCTGATAAGCTCTGACTGCACTGTAAATGTCTGAGGTGACCCCAGCTACGGAGGGACACGGTGGCCGCCATAACACCTAAGCACAGCCATGTGATCAAGACAATAATCTTTGGGCGCATTTAAAAGTTCTAGTGCCCTGTACGTATGGTTCCTCTCTGCTGGAGTGGGAGAGGGGAGGACGTGTGGACAATGGATGAGATTCGGAGGCGTCAGCATGGACTTGTGTGAGTTATGTGGTCACAGCTGGCTGTGCGGAGACGTGCTACGGCACGTGGGCGCACATGCTCACGGGCAGTGCACACACATTTCCTCTCTAGCCTGAAGAAGCAGCCTCCCAGGAGCAGGAAGCTACATTTCCCTTCCACCTTTTTGGCCGGTCCGAACATAAGGGGCTGTTTCAGGAACGGGGCAGGGAATATGTGAGTCTCTAGAGTATTGTAGTGCCAGAAATTAAGGGAGCACTAAACACATGTCCACACATACTCACATGCGTATTTAGCCAACAGTGCGGACAGAGGGATGGAGAGTATGTATCTTCTCAGCTTTCCTGTGCGTCTGACTGAGTATGTTAAAGGATCTGTTGAATGTGCTGTGCATGGTGGCACGTGCTGTCATGCCTGCACTTAGAGGCAGAGGATCATTGTGCCAAGGCCTGCCCAGTGTACCTAGAAAGTAAGTTCTAGGCCAGCCAATAGCAAGACTGTCTCAAAACACCAAAACTAAAACAAAATCTCATAAAAAACAAAAACAAAAAAAAAAAAAAACAACTGGAAGTATTAGCTGGTGGTGGTGCACACCTGCAATCCCAGCGCTCAGGGAGGCAGAGGCAGGCGGATCTCTGTGAGTTCAAGGCCAGCCTGGGCTACAGAGTCCAGGACAGCCAGAGATTGTTGCATAGGGAAACCCTGTCTGGAAAAAGGAAACAAAAACTGAAGTATTATTTGAAAAGCCTGAGCATAACGCAGTGGCCTCTCTTCTGCAGCTTTGACAGTGTTTCCTGCCTCGCGGAGTCGACTTCCCTCTCGGACATCACCTTTGATGGCAACCCAATAGCTCAAGAGTCATGGTACAGACACACGGTCCTGCAGAATATGATGCAGCTGCGCCAGCTAGACATGAAGAGGATCACGGTAGCACCCTTCCGTGCACCCGCCGAGTGTGCCTCCACCTGCTCCTGCTCCCCTCTGGTCCTCCTCCTGCTCCCCTGTGATCCTCCTCCTGCTCCCCTGTGGTCCTCCTCCTGCTCCCCT